ACAAAATATTTTACACAAATACTTCACATTCATCTTGTATACTATATATACAAGTAATCGAAAGGAATACTTCCTTTCTTTAAAAGCAAATTTAAAATATCACTTTTTCTTAAAAAAAGGGGGGGGGAATAATACACATTATTTTAAAAATTTAATCTAAAATAACAACCTAAAATAAATAAAACTTTGTCATACCAATATATATATATATATATATATATATATTTTAATTACTTAGACTGGTATTTTTACAAAAGCCTGCTTGCTTTAAACATTACTTTAAAAAAATGCAGGGAAGCCAATGTCTTTTACAGAAAATTTTTGTACAGAACAAAATACTAAACATTTAGTAACTGTAATTTAAATTCAAACATCAACTTAAGATATGAAAGATACAAATATAGAAGGCAAAAGTACGTTAACAATACATCAGATATAAACAAAGTTTGTTATTATATTTACATTTACATCTGATATAAAATTTACTTATACTGAAGTGCCAAATTATTATCAGCCATTATTATATGGTTTACATTCTTTGTAACCACATAAACTATAATAAATGGACACACAATATGTTATTTACTGCTTATCGTATAAATAATATGATACACAAAATTTGGCCAATGTTTAAGGAAAAATTTAAGTTATAAAACATATCCATTAAAATGAATGCAGAACAGTGATTAAATTTATGTTGTGAAAACAAGAATTAAAACTTAATTAATACTGTTATAAAAATTTTTAGAATACTGTTAAATAATTCAACTTGGCAGCTCTTTTTGTGCTCAGAGAAAACTTAAGTTAAATATTTTTCAGAAAACCGAATCTTTAAAGACCTTTATTAACTACAGAAATATGCCATAAAGTTATAAAAAGGATTACTTTGATCAAATTTTTAATGCTTCAATATTATTATATAAAATTTTTAGGTTATCTTTAGTGTACTAACAGATAAAAATTAAACATCATGAAACTTTAAAAACTCATAGGTAAGTATTGTATGCATATAAAAATATACAAAATAAACAAACTATACAGAAAAAATAAATGCCAAACCTTTCATTCAATTACACACACACACACACACACACACACACAAAAAAAAAAAACAACAACAAAAAAAAAAAAAAACCCTATATTATTATGTCTAAACATTGAAATATCAAACACGTCTTGCAATGCATTTTTACAGTACACACTGCTTCATGTGACCAGATTTGTTGACGACTATTTAGATAACATTCTGCAAATGATGAGAAAAAAATATCTTTCATAATAGCAAAGGAATTTAAATAATTTAATACAAATATAACTAGAAATACATAAGCAGGCATTTTTACAGCGTTTTAATTAGGTAAATGCAAATGTTTGTTAACTGCTTATAACACTTCTGAAAATTATTTCACAGATGCTGTATCATTTAATACTCAAGAGGATGTTCCTCAATGTAAGAGAACTCACCAACTTAAAATTTAAAAATTTAAAAGGAAGCAAAAAAAAAACAATCTTAGTTTGACATAGATGTTTTCAAAAGAAAAAAATTTGCAGACTTTTCTTACTCCTGAAGAAGAGAATCTCGCAAAACCTCTAGTTAATGAAAATTTACATCAACTATGGTTTTTTTCTTTGGCTCTAATTTATTTCAAATCAAGATGATTGGCAACTTAATCCCTTACTTGGTGATATTTTTCTGTAACTTGTCAATTTTTATAATGCATTTTAAACTTATTTAGCAACTTTAGTTTAGTTTAAAAATTGATTCTGTACTATTTTGATCTATTAAACAAATTGTGATCACAATAAATGATAATTCTATACACAGAGCATCAGTAATTCAGTAACAATATGTGAACAATAACATTAACTGTAATCACATTTAGTGGTGTCTACTGTATAGCCACAATAAGCTAAATGCCTGTTTTCTGATTTTGTACATGTGCACACAAATGCAAAATTTTACACGGAGAATATTTCAGAACTATAAAGTTTTAAAATCATTTTCAATCTATATATTCTTACATGTGGCAGTCACTTTTAATTTTTACCAAGAAAATGATGCCAATGTTCAAACATAAAAACTTTGTGATATATATTTGAAATATTGAATACCTGTTTGAGTGTTGTACACATAAAACTTATATTTAAAATTTTATTAAAATTACATATGGGAAAATATGGATTTCTCACAAAAATATAATAAAACATCCAAAATAGTACAGTATGATAAATTAAAATATAATAATGGACAACCAAGAAAATACATATATCTTATTTGAACAATGCATAAACTTGAGGCTAGGAATAAAACTGCTTAACATTAAAACTGACATAAAGCAAGGACAAAACAAGTTATTTGTGCAGAATAGAATATTAGGCTAACTAGGACCACAACCTCTTTCATATACGAGAATTCCAGATGACTGGACTTTTCTATTATTTTCTGCAATTCAAATGACTTTATTCGCCCATTTATTATACAATATTTAAACAAAGAAAACCAATTAAAAAAACTCAGTTAAAAAATGAAACATTAAAACATAACACACTTTTTTGTAAAACTAAACAATAAAACCATTTTTTTTTCCTATGCCTTAGAACTCTAAACAAATAACCTCATTTTTATTTTAACTACATTTGATGAAACAAAATACATAACTGAATTCTATTTAACTAACTGTTATGATTATTTTTCCCTAAATACAAAATAATAAAATTAATGACAGAATAACAGGTTTCTTTACAAAATATTTACTCCACATAATTAGAATCAACAAACTATATTACATATGGTTAATATATACATAAAGTATTATTTCACTTTTACATCAATGAGGAAATAAAAAACATACAAATAAATTAACAAAGGCTTAATTTTACTATGTTATAGAAAACAACAAAAACCTGAGAACACTGAACATCAGCAATCAAGATTATTGGAATTATATTGTATTTCATATTGCAAAGTATTCTATTATATAACAAAATTATTTTTTTAAAAATACTGAGATACTATAGTATGTCTTTTAAACAAGATTGCAATATAGTATTTCACACAATATTAAGAGAAAAAGCAGATTACTGCTAGCTTGTTTGCACACTGCTATCGCTATTTAATGTGCAATTAATCTAGCTTTGTAGACTAGGTGGGGTAGAGATAAATAATTCATGGCACAGGAGATCAATTACTGGCGAATTTAGGCATGAAAAATATACTGAATATATAAATATATATTCAATGCCAATGTTTGTTTATGATTTAGAAAATACTGGTTGCTCTGACAGATTTCATTAAACAAATATAATAATTTATATGCTGTTTAAATAATTTTATAAATAATTATGATAAAGAGCATTCATACTGAAATATAATTCACTAAAAATTTTTTTAAATGTCTGCTGAATACCTTATAAATGATTAAAAACTGAAATGCTCAAAAAAAAAAAATAAATAAATAAATAAATAAAAAGTCACAAAAGAGCACAGCTTATTTTCTTTTTAGCCCAAAGGGGCAATTTGGTCTGAAGGACTATTGTTTTTGTTTCGCGATTTTGCATTAAAATCTTTAAAAGGCTGTATCACTTTTCAAATCGCTGCCACCAAACATTATCGCCCTGTATTATATCTGAAGAAATTAAATAATGTAGAATCCGCATAAATGTATATAAGTTTTTCGCACTGTGATAAAACAACGGTACCTAGAGCCATCAAAATTTGACTAATGTAATCTTCCATAGAATATGGGCATGTGGAAGCCCTAATTTGAATTTGAAATTTGTTTTATTATCGATTTAATATTTTGTAACACTTCAATGAGTTTTTGATTAAAAAACTAAATGATTTCAAAGCGAGAAATGGCAACATCGTACAGAAAAACATTTTTATGTCCAGCGCGTGAGACTGCATATCAGAAATTCGAAACATATGCTCAATTTAAAATTATTTTGTGATATTGCTCTTGAACTGAATTTTATGGTTTAAATGCAAAGAACATGACATTTAATAAATAAAGGTAATACACAAAATGTTAAAAAAAAAAAAAAAAAGACTCCTTCGGATGTAAATCTGAAACTTTTCAGATTATCTTTTTTTTTTTTTTTTTTTTTTTTTTAATTCAGATGGAGTAAGAAATGTATTACAAACTTATAATAATTTGTCAAGCTCTAATATTCTGAATAAAAAGATCAAGAATGCACTACATACTATAATCAAAATTCTATGCACAAAAGCATATAATCTAGAGCAGTGGTTTTCAACCTTTTGATTAATGCATCTTAACTAAACAAAAACTGAAAAACTTTAGCATTACCACTACATTTTATCATGATTATTTTTCATTTTCTCAATAGAAATGTTGAAAAAATATATATATATATATATATTTTGCCATTTGCACAACCTATTGGGTATTTGTATTAAATTAGATTAAAAATAGGTTACCATTTTAATTATCAAAAAATTGTGGGATGATATTTAGATCTGGAATTACAAACTTTAATTTGAAAGTTTCTGCAGGGGAAAACATCTTCAGGTAAGTTCTTGCAATAATATATACGAACAGTTTTCAAATTTTAGTTTATAAAAAGAAAACAGTGTTATTTTCTGTTCATGTAATGCTGATTTAATATGGTAAAATTAAATACAGTACAAAGTCCATAATCTGGACTTGTCGGGACTTTGGTGATTCCGGATTAGAGATCATCAATTTAATTCTGGTAAGATGGCATGCAGAAATAATACAATTAAAAATATGAAACCGTAATTTATGAAATAAAGAGCAATTATCATCTAAAGGGTATCAAAATTTACAAAAAAAAAAAAAAAAAAAAAAAAAAAAAAAAAAAAAGCTTAATATACATTTATTTACTTTAGTAAACATTTCTTTCAATGTAAGTTATTTTAAGTTGCTTCGTTTTTGTGCTAATACTTTCTCTTTAATAATTTACTTTAACAGACATAATTTCTTGTTCAGTTACAAAGTTCCACTGTTCAAGTCCTGTAATTACTGAGCCGAGAATACCGACTAACTTGTCAATCGAAATTTTTTCGTTTTCAATAACGTTCACTGTTACTTTCTTCACTATCGGAAAGCCGCATGGGCAAACGCTTTACTGGCTTTATGCGCATGCATAGTGGACGCGCGCATCAAATGCGCATGCATAAGTTTGTGGCTTTGAGGTCTGGATTAAAGACTTTGTACTTTATTTCAAAACTATAGTACACATAATTGCCAAATCTTAAAGAATTATCAATTAGTGACCTATTATAACTTACATTTTGGTAACTTCAGACATTTATAATACGGATTCAAATATTGAAAACTCAAAATTGGCTTATAAAATGGTGTCGGCAACCAAATAGATGTTATTTAAGTATTAGCATTACCACTTTAGTAGAAGTCGTCAAATTTGCAGACTGTGCAAAATTCTGACAAGCATATATTTGGCAATTTTGTAGGCCAGGATTTCTTAAACTCTTTGGTGTGAGAACCCCATAATATTTACGAAACTTTTGTGGGACCCCCGTAAGCATTATGTAAATCTGACACAGGCGCGAGTAAAATTGTCAGTTCCTTCACTTGTCACTCTATTGCAGTTTCAGGTCATTAATTTTTTAAGTAAAATAAACATTTCTATCATAAGAAAATGCATCGAAATAATTTTGCTTTTTCTTTGTCTGTTTTGTCTAACCTTTATCTATTTTCGGACACACTATGTAAAACTATTTGGCAATTTAAAAATTATTATAAATTAAAGGATATATCAAAATTATAAAATTTTTGGAGACCCCTACTGCAGATCCTGTGACCCACAGTTTAAGAAGCTCTGCTTTAGGCAACCATGCACATACTAATTCTTGCATCTCCATTTTCGTACACATTCTTTCCATTGTATTCCAAGTTTCAGCAATTCTTAACAGACATATTTTTTGTCTTTAATTTAAAAACATATGCTCCTAAATTTGCTTGATGCAGGAGAAACTGCAGTATAATTTCTACAGGAAAATAATAGTTTGCAGCAAAATTGGTAAAGGGAATGCCAAAAATTTCACCAGAGAAAAAGAAATAATGATTTGCATGTGAAATATTTAACTAAAATATGGAATATACATGTATGGAATATGTATGTGGGTAATAAATAATTTTTTACCACAAGTCATCATTCTTTTTCTTAAAAAATCACCAAATTGCATGAAGGTGCTTGTGTAATACGTAAGTACAAATGGATAAATAGAAAATATAGTGAAAAAAAAAATTGAAAGCATAATTGAGAAATGCAAACAACATATAGTAAATGTGACCTTACTAGCCTTCCCAAATTGCAAATAACCTCTGTCTGTGCACACAGATAGAGAGAGACACTTGAAGATGAAAACCTACAAACTTTTTCACTTCATCAATTACAACTTAAAAGATGAAAATCTGCAAGAGGCAAAATCAAAGACGGAGGGGGGAAAAATCACATATTTTGTGTTCTTTTAGAACTTATAGTTGTAGAGACGTTAGGTTTTTCAGAAGCAAGGAAATTGAAGAAATCTGAAATATGAAAATTAAGTTTCGTATCACATTATATCACAAAATAAAATTCTTTCAGTAGCAATTTACAGCAATATTAAATTCTTTGCATTTATAAATCAGAAATTTGATTAAAATAGTTTCCTTAATGCAGAATAATGAATAGAAGTTAAATACATAAATTTTAAATGGAGTGCAACAGAAAAATTCTGCATAAAAAAATTCCGAAAACACATATACTGAAAAACCTTACTGATCTCAAATCTTTTTGTCTTTATGGAACTTCAGCATATTTCAAATGGTATCGAAAATTTCTTCTCCAACAATTTCTAAATAGTGTACATTTTCATGTATAAGATTATAAGATCGATTTCTTGCAGGTTTTATTTTTTTACTACTGAAATTTCGGGACTGGCTTACACTCAACATAATTCACAAATTTCTAATATACATTAATCAAAGTTTTTAATACCAATATTTGACTGAGAATGTTCTAGAAATTCTTGAAAGTTTTACCCTACCAGAGGTCACTCCGAGTGAATGTCATTATTCTCATATATTTTTTAGATATCATCTTTAGTTCTGTTCACAGCATTGCATAGGAAAAGGTATTAATTTTTAGTTTAAATCTATTAGAGTACACAGTCCTTTTCTGCCTAAGCATCTTTCACTATATACATAAAAATGAAGAATTGTATTTTATTCATAAAGTTAGAAGAGCAACTTTGTGGGGTCTTGCAATTGCTTAAGAAAGATTTCATAACTTAAATTAGTCATACTGTTGCCGAAGTGCCAAATGATGTGCATGCTCCAAAACTAGAAGATTAAAAACAATGATGTGCATGCTCCAAAACGAGAAGATTAAAAACAAACTACTGGCAGCAGAACTACCTTTTCATTTTGCAATGCTTTGACTCTTAGTTTCGATTACATGTGAACTAGTTAGATTACTAATTATTCACCTGATTTATAGGGTGATTTTAAATTCATCTCATATATAGGTTTCCAATTTAAATGCATTTTTACAGCAAAAGCTTATCTCTCGCCTTAAATTTCAAAATAGACCATGCATTTTTTTTTTTTTTTTTTTTTAAGACCTTACTGTACCAACTGAAGTCAGAAGCAATCTGTGTATTGGTAGACTTGATTGGTTAGCTTTTATGGTACATTCTGATTCATTCAGCATAGTTTTACCATCTTATTGTCTGGAAATCTCTCAACTAATGAATTGTTTTGCACTTATTCCGAGATTTTAACCTAATTTAGCAGTTTTACGTGCATTTTGATAATTTCGGAAGAGTCAATTCGCTTTAGTGCACAAAAATAAAATATATTAAAAGCAAAGGATAATTTTTAATTTAATTTAAATATACAGGGATTAAACATAAGTTTCTCTTCATAAAACTGAACAATAACCCCTAAAGATTGCAGATTAATTCTGGCATTTAAAATGCTTATTAACTGATTTCAGTTCCTTTTGCTACTAGAATTCCTCAAAAAGCAAATTAAGTCTTTAGTTCCTACTTTATTTTTTAATTCTAATATGAAAATCAGAGATATTCTTATTGAAAATAATAACATATGTGAAAACTTCTTGAAGATATTAATGCTAATATGCTCTGAATGAGCTTTAAAACATTCAATTCTGGTTACAAATAAGTCATGTTTCAGTTATATACATATACTGAGCCGGACCACATTTAGGAAAAGCATTTTAGCAATGAAAACATATATTCTTACATAAATACAATATATATATAACAAAATTATTAGTTTATTAATTTAATGTCATGTCTGTAGAGCTTTTAAGCCTATTAAAAACACAACATAGAAAATGGCAAAAAAAGGCAAGAAAAAAATTTAAATAGAACACATTCCCAAAGCAAAATCTGAAATAAGTTAAATGCATCACAAAACAAATCTTGTTTAGTAACATATAAATACTTATGCACATTTTTGTTGCTTATTTAAAATGCTGGTATGTCTTACACAAATTTGAAATATATAGATTATTTATATTTACAGGAAACAAACTATTATGATAAAGAAGATAACATTGGCTGCTGTATTTCTGGATCTTCTGAAAGAATTTCCACTTTCACCCATTCACGACCTTTCGAGGACAAACGTATTGCATCTATAACAGCCTGAATGTACTGCCCATCTTCGAATGATGCTGCCATCGCAACAGGTTCTTTAACCCAGCTTTGCAAGTCTTCTTGAGAAGCAAAAGCTTCTTTTAGTGCACCTACCATTTTCAACAGTCCTTTCATGTATGGTTTTGGCAAGAGAGCATTCAGATAATTTTGAACGGCACAATCTGAAGTATCAGCAGTAGAAGATACAGATACACTGTTAAATGATATCACAGAAGACTTTTTTAGGTCTTCAATGTCGAGATACAATACTTCTTCTTTCACAGAATTCAATTTCTGTCCATAAAGATCACCACCTCTGACAACTACATGGCCTTCTGTACCGCAAAGCAGTACTTCCTGGCTAAACTGTCCAGGAAGATGTTCATTTAAAGTCACAGTTGCACAACTCCCACCTTCTAATTCCATTTGGAATGTGCAAAAGTCATCACTTGTAATTTGCCGTATTCCTTTAACATGACGTGTAGTCTTCGTGAAAGTTCGAACCATGCCATGAACTCTCAAAGCACGACGACCTGTGGTATACGTGATGATATCAATTACATGGCTTCCAACATTGGTCAGCAGACCACCTCCCATAAGTTCATCACATGTCCAGTCATAACGATCATGTAAAAGACTACCGCACTGAACCTGGACATCACATATAGTTAAATCTCCTATGTAACCATCTTTCACTACCTTTCGCATCTGTACAAATGCGGGCAAAAATCGAAGACTGTGAAAAAGTACAGAGATAAGAGATGGATAATACTGTGCTGCATGTACCATTTTAAGTACTTCGTTTTGACATAAGCCAGCTGGTCTATCACATAAAACATGTTTGCCAATACCTAATGCTTTAACTGCTATTTGTGAATGCAAATGAGGTGGACAAATAATACATACTAAATCGACATCTTTACGAAGAAGAACTTCGTCAACTTTATTCGTAGAAAATGGAATATCAAGCTCCGTAGCAACAAATTCTGCAGCTTCTTTAGTCCGACCCCAAATTGCTTCTACTTTAAACCCACGGGCACGTAAACATGGAACAAGAACTCTGATAATTTTGCCAGTGCCGAATACTCCGACACCTGGTAACATATTAAGCGAAATCTACATGCAATAGAATGACAACATTACACAATTTGAAGATGCCTTTAGAACTACGTAACATAACAACAACATTATTTTGTTTTTAATGTACACAAACAGCGGCCATTTTGAAATGTTTACGATATCGATATGTTACACATAAAAATCGTTTTATAGATCTGTTCCATATCAAAAATTATTTTCAAATATTTCAAACGTACCTGAGGAAAAGGCTTGTTTTTATAAAATGTACCATTAGCAGAATTTATAAATTATCCAAAACACTTCAGTAATAAGAATTAACATGCTTAGAGAGAATTTGGACAACACCGATTCTTTACGAGCGGCTAAAACCCGCCGGGAACTGGGGAAATTCAACCAATCAGAGAAAGACTAGCGTCTACGGAGAGAAGGGAACTTTTAGGATCGTGATCTGATCCTTCCGTGCGCATCTCAATTTGCGCTTATGCTGCCGGCTTCTTCCTGAAATTCTGTTTATTTACACGAAGTACAGTAGGGTTTGGAAATTTATGTCATGTGTTGAGAATGGATGCATTTGCATTGAATCTGTATTAAATATCTGTATATGATCTACAGTGAATACAGTTGAATGAATAAATCGGTGTTTGTTAAAAAATTATGTTGGAAGGTAAGAAAATAAAATTTTTGCTAATGCAAGTTATGGATAAGGTTCGGAGAACAGCCTTGGTTGCGCCAACTTGGCTCCTTTAAGGATATGGGCGACATTTCATTATGCCAACGGAAGTAAATATCATGTGCTAAGGAGAAAAGGAAAATACATGGGGGGAAACGGGCTTAAGATGTGTTTATAGTTGTTTGGTATCTGATTGCTAATTAGTTTCTGTTATGTTGCTAAATTAGCATTAAAAGTCGAGTAATGTGCGTCTATTGCGAAAACGCAGGGCAATTACTTTTCGATCTGATTTTATATATGTATTAATATATCACATTCCTGCTCATATGATATACATATCTATCAGATAACTAGCTACTTTTCTTTAAAAAAGTTTATTCCTTTTTAATTATGCATTAAATTAATTATATACAATAAATAATAATGAGTTATTACCTGTGACTGTTAATTAAGCATGCCTATCTTCTGTAAATTATTGCTAGAACATGTGCAAATAATGAGGAGTTATCATCATGCCGCTGATATGCCGCGAATATCATACAATTTGTATGACGTGTTCCTGCTCTTTGAAATAACTGCCCTGTGGGCCGCCTAACAGTAAAGTTTTCCTGGTGCTTGAAAGCGAGGTTTTCATGGTGAGAAGGGGAGACTGCAAGACAGCACAGGTCTGAGAAATAATAAAGAGGCACGTCCTGGAGTGGGAATAATAAACTGATGGTACGCAGTGACGACATGTCCAGTCTGGAAAATACACGATAAATTCAGTTAGGTGGGAAAATAATGAGGAAATATGCTACATTAATTGTTAGCAGGTAATTACAGGACCATGAAAGAGAGTGCCTAATATTTGTTCCTGAAATTTCTTTATTGCTTACACTAAGCTAAGCGTTAAAGGGTATTAAAAAGCTTATTTACGACACCTATGAGCACATCCTGATGCATCAGCTATGTGATAACTTGAACATTTTGTGTTGCAACTGGCATCTCAACAATGAATTGAACTATTGACATTTCATCAATTGTACAAGAGCAATGAAGTGCACTGTTTTTCTCTATATCCTGACTATACTGTATTTTCATTAAATCAGTAAGCCGTGCATGTGAGACAAATGCATTAAATTGTTATTACGAAAGTGTGAAAACAGGAAAATTAAAGTCAATTGGAAAAAACTGTTGCTTTTTGAAAAAAATACTTTAGACATTCGTATTCATTATTTTCAGTACATTTGCAATGCCAATAGTCACAAATTATACCTAGGTATTATTTGTGATTAATATATCATTTTAAAAGAGGTATATTATATGTCAGGGACAAAGTTGACAAAGAAAATATAAGAATTCTTTCTGTAACTAAACATGATTCTCTACTCAGTGCTAAAATAAAGAGGATTATCAATCCATGAATAACATGTTTTTTACATTACTGGATGGTTGCTGCCATTGAATCGACTATCTGTGCAACAGCTGGAGAACAAGGTGCACAGAATTATCATTCATGCTCTGTGCTTTTTCTTAAAAAGCATACATCAAACTCGACTTAAAAATTAAATTAATAGACACGAGGCTTAAATAGAAGTATCTAATTTTATAACAACTGTAAGAGCCATAGCTGCAGTTTACTCAATAACTCACATGTCTGTGATTTTATCATTGAGAAGCCTTTTGGCTAAGGATTATATAACGTAACATTAAGTAGTAGACTACAGTTAGCAAATTTGCAACATTTTTATAGTTAGTTGTAACGTTTATAGTAAAGATATTAGTAAAGACTACTTCAACTTGAACCACCTATAGCAGGGGTTCCCAACTCTGCGCCCGCGGGTACCATGGCGCTCGCCGATCGGTTAACGTGTGCCCGCCGCTGTGCGATCACAATAAAAATGTTTTAGTTTTCAATAAAATTCTAAGTAAAAGTTTTCTCGTTTTTAATGAAATGGAAATTGCGTCCAACACAGATACAATCACAAAGAAAAATGCGATCGATCTCTTTTTTAAATGCATGTTATTAACTATATCCAACTATAAATTCACCTTGAAAAAGTAAATGGTGCCTGTCACATTCTTGCCACTAGGTGGCGGGCATCTCTTCCTTTACTTTTGCTGTAATTAAGTTCCGAGAAGCAGTCGAGATTGGAACCGCTCTGAGGAGCGTAAAGACTCAGAACTAAAAATGTACTGTTTTAAAATAATTATCACCTACCTTGTAAATAGTGTATATTAGCTTTTTATTCCAATAAATAATTAAAAGACAAGATGGCCTGCTAATTGTAATAGAAACTCTTACTGGAAAACGTGATTATTAGAAGCCTGGCGTCGAGAACACTGAAGATGCAGCAGGTAAGGAATTTTACATTAATTTTATTGTAAATAGAAGAACCTGATGCAACATTTTTATGGCGCCCGAACAGGGACGCCAGGTTTTTTGAAAAGTTCTAATAAAGTGAATTCAAAAGCTGAATATTAAAATTGAAGATTTAATACTTGTTCTTGAAGTATTCAGCAGAAGAATAATTTTGTTTTCTAAGTAAGAGTTAAATATTTGTTTTTCATGAGACGGTATATTTTTTGTGTAAGTGTTTGAATCTAAGAAAGATAATGGCTGAAGTAGATAATTAAAAAAGAAAAGAAGTATCTTAAGAACTGCCGTTACAAAACTATTTAAGAAAAATCGAAAGTGAATTAAATAAATCTGAATGTAGTATTAATGAGCTCGAAGAATTGTTAGAACAGCTTAATGCTAAAACCGAAACGCTATCTAATGCCGATGTGGAAGTTGAACCAATTCTGAGTGTAGATGAATTCGAAAATGAATTCGAAATTACAAGAACAATATCGCGAGATGATAACGTTATGGAAATTCAGGCTTAAACGGAAATTCAGAAACGTATTAAGGAAATTAATCATGACCCTAGTGCGAAGATTTCAGTAGTTTCGGTCCAGGATAATGACTTAAATGCACCGAACACACAGCAAAATATTAAAAGATACACCTAATGTTAAATTACCAAAACTTTCGATTTCCCGTATTTTATGGGAACAGTAGTCAATGGCTTACTTTTTGGAATAGTTTTGAGTCCTATTCAATACATAATAACGAATCATTGAACAAAGTAGACAAATTTAATTACCTGAAAGCATATTCAGGAGGAACAGCTGCTAGTTGCGTTCAAGGACTTCCGTTATCGCCAAAACATTATGATTCAGCAATTCAAATCTTACACGACCGTTTTGGAAGGAGAGACGTTGCTTATTAATGCGCACATGAATAATTTGCTGAATGTTGAATCATTAAAAAATGCGAATGACATAAAAAACATTTCGTAACTTGTATGATAAAGTACAAACACAGATTAGATGGTCTCGAAGCGTTAGATGTTGTATCGGAATCTTACAGCGCTTTGCTGTGTCCGATGATTTTGAAGTTATTGCCTTCAGAATTAACGCTTGAATTTCATAGAACACAAAATGTTGGCACCAGATTATAACATAAAAGATTTAATGTCATTTTTACACGCAGAACTTTCATCCCGCGAACGCACAAGGTCAACGGTTTCGCAACAGCAAAAAGTATCCGATCGGCGACAGTCTTCTCCCCCCCCCTGCAACGAAAAGCGCATATGGTTTCTCAAATAGACATAATAAACCAAAGATTCCGACCGCTACAGATTTGTTTACAAAATGTGAATGCAGGGAGGAAAAATATGAACTGCGTCTTCTGTAATTCAATTTCACAAGACTTATGACTGTAGTTTCGTTTCCGGCTTATCATTACAAGAAAAAAGGGACATTTTAAAAAGAGAAATGTGCTTGCTATAAATGCCTAAAATTACACACCATTTGGCTCAAAACTGCAGAACAAAAAATAACTTGTTCTATTTGTAAAAAAACAACATGCAACTATTATGTGTAATAAACAAAATCCTTCTGTCGAGGTTTCGGAAATTAAAAAAGACGAACAGATAGAAAATAAAGTACTTTCAAATCAAGCAGGATGTTCAGAAGTATATTTGCAAACTTTAATTGTTCGCATATATGGAAGAGGGAATAACCAATTTGTTCGAGCGATAATTGACACCGGAAGTCAAAACTCATACATAAGCAGGTATGCAGCAGAAAGGTTACAATTAAGAAGCTTAGGTGAACAAAGTGTAACCCACGGACTTTTCGGTGGCATAGAAGTTTCGGAAAAACATAAACGTTATAGAATAAAATTGGGTAGCGTAGTAGATAAACGGTATAATTGCGAAATCAATGTATTGGATGAAAGAAAAAATATGTTCTTCGGTCCCTAAAATCAAAAAATATACACTGGATTGGGGAACTTAGAAGAAGAGGAATTTACGTCAGTGATGTTTTTGAAAATGGAAATTGCAGATTATTCCAGGAGAACCCCCAAGAGATTCATTTGTTGTTAGGGGCAGATGTTGCTGCAAATTTATTTACAGGTAAAATCGAAGTTCTTCCTTGGGGAAGATTAGTTGCTGTAAGTACAAGACTTGGGTGGACAGTCATGGGGAAAGCGAACACTGACAATTATGAAATAGAAAATTCCTTTTCCACGCTTTCGTTATCTTTACATATTTCTGATGCCACGTTGTCAGAACTGTGTAGGCTTGATGTTATCGGAATAACAGATCCAGTTACAAAGAAGGCTAGAGAGAAAAGGGATTTGCAATCAAAATTGCAATTCGAAAATTCTGTATCTCTAAACGAAGAAGGGCGTTATGAAGTCGCACTTCCGTGGGCGGAGAATCATGTACCACT